GAAGGCTCGCTGGTGGGGGATGGTGTTGCTGCTGTAGGTGTTGAGTGTTATTGCACAGCAGCTACTGACCATCAGAGTGGCTCTATTGAACGACCAGTCAGAGTTTATGTTCGAGGGCTTTATGCTCAAACTCAAACGTAAGTACACATGCTTGGGAACCTCTAGCGTTGAGCTATACCTTTCTCAGCTACATGTGGAGTCTTCATTACGATGAATCCGGGATACGCTGGTCGAACTGAGTTGCCCGACAACTTGAAGGTTCTCTTCCGCCCGATGAGTATGATGGTTCCTGACTATACACTCATCGCTGAGATCATGCTCTTCGCAGAAGGTGGGTGCGGGCTCGATCCCGGCACCTCGCATTTTTACATTTGATCTCAGGTTTCAGCACTGCCAAGCGGCTTTCTGGCAAGTTCACGAAGCTGTATAAGCTCTCTTCAGAGCAGCTGTCGAAACAAGACCACTACGACTTCGGCATGCGAGCAGTGAAGTCGGTGTTGGTGATGGCAGGCAGTCTGAAGCGTTCTGACCCTGACCTCAACGAGGACGTCCTATTGATTCGCGCTATGAGGGACTCTAATGTACCAAAGTTCTTGGCAGCTGATCTACCGCTCTTCTACGCCATCGTCGGAGATCTTTTCCCCGGGGTAGAGGTCCCCTACATCGACTATGGCGTTTTGCGCGAGGCTGTGGATCACTCTGTTGTTACTGAAGGACTACAGGTTGTCGATGCACAGGCCAAGAAGGTTATTCAACTGTATGAGACCTTTAACGTCAGATTTGGGGTTATGCTCGTTGGGCCCACTACTGGTGGCAAGACGGTTATCTATCGTACGCTGGCAAAGGCTCTGAGCAAGCTTCGGGCTGATGGGCATCCTGATGAAAACTACCAGATGGTTCGCTACGATGTCCTCAACCCGAAGTGCATCACTATGGGGGAACTCTATGGTGAGTTCAACGAGCTCACGCAGGAGTGGACTGACGGCCTTGGCAGCTCTTTGATGCGAGCTAACGTCGCTGATGAGACGCAAGACTGGCGGTGGACAGTTTTCGATGGTCCAGTGGATGCTATATGGATCGAAAGCATGAACACTGTCCTTGATGATAATATGACCTTATGTCTGGCTAATGGTGAACGCATTAAGCTGAAGCCTGAGATGAGGATGTTGTTCGAGGTCCAGGACCTGGCTGTGGCCTCGCCAGCAACTGTCTCGAGGTGTGGTATGGTGTATGTGGACCCACTCGACCTCGGCTGGCGACCGTTTGCCTATACGTGGCTCTACAATCAACTCCCAAAGGGCCCTCCTTATAGCACTGCAGTAAGAGAGAAGATATGGGAGCTCATGGAGAGGCATCTAGATCCAGCTGTGGCGTTCATACGTCGGAATTCGTCGGAACCCCTGACTACTGTCGACACCCAGTTGGTCTACTCCTTTTGTTTCCTATTCGAAGCTGTCCTCTCCTGGGAAGCTGCGACACTGCATGGTGCGGCTAGCTCTGACTGCGACCCTGAGAAAAACCCAATGGTGGATCTGCGCAAGTTGGACCCTGAGAACGATGAGTCGGCCAAACTGTTGGAAAAGATCATCCTGAGTACCTTCTGTTTCGCGATGGCATGGTCTATTGGAGGGTCCTGTGATACTAAGAGTCGACAGATGTTCGCCCAGTACTGCGAGCAGGAGTTCGAGTCGGTCTCCTTTCCTCGGGGCGGGAGCGTCTATGATGGTTATGTTGATTTTGCGAAGGGCAATAGGTTTTTACCCTGGGAGGACCTAGTGCCCAAGTTCACATATAAGGCGACTGATAGCTACCTCCAGCTGCTGGTACCAAACGTGGACAGTGTTCGCTTCTCATTTGTTGTTGACAAGATGCTGACTCAAGGGAAGAGCGTGTTGTTGACAGGCATGACGG